TAAATTTAATAAGAAAATGAATAAAATAAACCATAAGTTGATTCAGTATAGTTTTAATAAACAGTTATGATCCATATTGAGGGTGAACGGTGGTGCTCATATTTATGTTTTTAGTCATATGCAATTGATAAAATCAATAGTCCAGTTGTCCAAACACCTAAAAATCCAACACAACTTCTCTTAAATATGTTCTAATTTAATATGATTTTCCCTAGTGTGTGTACTCAGTCCATGACCTAATGACCAAATTGCACAAATTAGGTGCCTTGTTTTATGATTTAGAGCAGTCCTATATTGCATCCAAACAATAACCAATCAAAGCACTAACCAAAAAAGAGTTGACACTCAATAAAATCCAAGCAAACTATTGGCGACAAAGGCTAAGAGGCAACGCAAACTATTTACGCATGGAAATACTGAAATCTTGAAAATCTAAGATCTTAAACAAACATTAGTAGTACACTATCCTCTTGTTTCTCCACTGAATCTCATTACATGAAATAAGATAAGAAATTATGAATGCATTTAAACTAATAAAAAAATGAACATAACAATGAAAATCCATGAGCATCAAATCATCCATCTTATTATGCCCTTGGGTCAATATCCACATGCAGGAAAAAAAAAATCTCCCACATACAGGAACAAATATGTAATTTAGTAGATTTCTTAAATCATTCATTCTTTCTTGCCCCCCTACCCCCCCTCCATCTCCCCTTCCAATTTGATTTTAATAAACCCAAATAATGATAATTGTAAGAAAAAAAAAAAAAAAACCATACTTATAAATTTACTACACAACCAACAAAGAAATAATCATAGAATAACAATGATCAATCATAGCTTAAGTAAGAATATAAATCAAATACTCACCACAATGTTTCGATATGAAATGTCTTAAGAAAGTCCTCAAGCTGCCTAATATGAGCCTATTAAGCATTGTGTTTGCTTAAAAAAATTCTTATTTTTTTAGGACATGACAAATCTCGTAGTCCATGTCGTAACTCATATTACACCTAATCCTACATTCCTAAACATGTATCAATAGAAAGGATAACAAACTGAGTGAATATTTATATACAAATTAAACAACATAGAAATTAAAGCTCTATTTCTTTTTGTAAAAAAAAGGCATCGTCAAATGGTTCAACAATTAGAAACTAACCTCTCTGCATCTCATAATGGTTCATCAATTTTCATCTCTCTAATCCATTTTCGTCAATTTGATAAATTATGACCCACTTCAATTTAAAATATCAAATTTAGTAAATAATAATTTGGATCTGTATCCAGTTAAACTAACCTAGAACAATGAAACTCTGAACAACCAATCAAAGAATTCTAAGAAAATAGAAAAACTTTTGCTAATAGGATTAATTAAAGCTTGAACGGTATGATACCACAATTCAAACCAATTAAGTCATGAATTTGAAAATCAATTAATTTAAAAATGAACTCACGAATTTTGTTAAGAGCCTATTCGTTGAAATAGAAAAATGAAATGTGGTTCAGATTTAATTGAGACAAGATGTAAAATAAAAAAATAAAAAACATATAATATAATAAAATTGATTTATTAGATCATTCATTCTTTCTTACTCCCCTTACCCCACCCACCCCAATTTGATTTAAATAAACCCAAATAATGATAATTGTAAGAAAAAAATTAAAAAAACCATACTTATAAATTTCATACACAACCAATCAAAGAAATAACCCAGAATAACAATAATCAATCAATGCTTAAGTAAGAATACCAATCAAATACTTACCACAATGTTTCGATATGAAATGTCTTAAGGAAGTCCTTAAGCTGCCTAATGTGAGCCTATTAAGCATTGTGTTCGCTTAAAAAAATTCTTATTTTTTTAGGACATGACAAATCTCGTAGTCCATGGCGTAACTCATATTACACCTAATCTTACATTCCTAAACATGTATGAATAGAAAGGATAACAAACTGAGTGAATATTAAATGAAGCTGAGTGAATATTGTTTTTTGTCGTATACATGGCAGGATAACAAACTAAGTGAATATTTATATACAAATTTAACAACATAGAAATTAAAACTCTATTTATTTCTCTAAAAAAATGGCCTTGTTAAATGGTTTATCAATTTTCATCTCTCTACCCCACCCACCCCAATTTGATTTTAATAAACCCAAATAATGATAAGTGATTGAAAAAATAAAAAAACCATACTTATAAATTTCTTGCACAACCAACCAAATAAATAATCACAGTATAACAATGATCAAATACTTACCACAATGTTTCGATATAAAAGGTCTTAAGGAAGTCCTCAAGTTGCCTAATGTCAGCCTATTAAGCAAACACAAGGCTTCAAATTATTGGTTTGAATTTGTGGAAATTAACAAACTTGCTGGAAATTAAGCAAACACAATGCTTCAAATTAAGCAAACACGACGCCTAATGGAAATTAACAAACTTGCTGGAAATTAAAGATTAACAAACCTCAAAAGATGCTCTCTCTGTCTCTCTGTCTCTCTCTCTCATCTCCATTATTTATAGGTAAAAATCTGCTGCACCAAAGAAATTTCTAGCAATAAACAGCGAAAAAGGCTGAAAGTGTTTCAATATGGACTATGGGAGTTTCTTTAAGACCAAAATCAACAAAACAAAAAAAAAAAAATAAAGAAATAAGAAAATAAATTCAAGATTGTGCCTTCAATAAAAAATATATATATATATATCCACAAATTTTGATTTGTTGTAGTAGTAGGAAAAGTGAACCCGAATACCCAATTAATCAAACACAATGCCTAAAGGACTTAGAGTAAAGAATTAAACAAACCTACTGGAAAAATAATTATACTTGCTTGACCCAAAAAAATTAATACATAAATTCAAGATTGTGCCTTCAATAAAATTGATTGTATAATTATAAATATATTTGAATATATCTACAAATATTGATTCGTTGCAGTAGTAGTACCCAATTAATCAAACACAATGCCTAATGGAATTAGAGTAAAGAATTAGACAAACCTGCTGGAAAAAGAATTAAACTTGCAAATATTGATTTGTTGCAGTAGCAGTACCCAATTAATCAAACACAATGCCTAATGGAATTAGAGTAAAGAATTAGACAAACCTGCTGGAAAAAGAATTATACTTGCTTAACCCAAAAAAATTAATACTCAAGAAAAATAATTAGACACCTCAAAAAAATACTACCAGATTTAGAAGAAACTAGAAAAATATACTTGGTTTAAAAATATGCTTGCTGGACCCAAAAAAATTAGACACCTCCATCCATGATGGGTTAAAGATAGAAAAAGATTGGTTTCTTGCCTTTTGGTTTGCTCACCTGAACAGTATTTATACCAGATTCTTCCTTTAGATTATTTATTCAGTCAGTTTGGGACTGCCACTATTGATGAAGATTGGTATGGCGGAGAGAGATGAAGGAAGAGAGAAGATGAAGAGAGTAATAGGGGGTTCAGGATTGGGTCTCCGGCAAGGGTTGGGCTCTGACAGGGAATTGAAGAAGAGCACGAGAATGGGCTTTGATGGAGAGAGAGAGAGAGAGCTAAAGTCTGTGTTCAAATTTTGAAATTTGAAAGAGAGAGAGAGAGAGAGAGAGAGAGAGAGAGAGAGAGATTTTGAGATGAGAGGAGTACTTGTGAGAGAGATATTTTGGAACTTATATTTGGACCATTAGATGTTGATGGTAATTGATCTTAACTATTGAAATGTCCAAATAGGACAAATGAGAGTAAGACATTTTCATCCATTGGATTGAATCAATCTAATAGTCCATATGTTGACACATACATTTTGAGCCCTTGAATTCAAACCAAGCCTTCCATTATAGAAATATATATGGTGAAGACTTGTACCAACAAATTTTATAAATTACTTTCAATTTTTTGATGTGATTTTTTCATTCATTAGATTATTTTTAAAGTCTACACAGGAGTAATTATTTTATTTTTGACGTTAATTGTGTGTCAAACTAATACCACAAAATTAAATAATTTATGACCCTCACAAGCAAAAAAATGTTGGAGAAATAAGTTTTTAGCTTTTTTTCCTTGGGAAAATTTAATGTCAGTGCAAATGTTGAATTTTTTTTCTTCAAAATAATATAAAGTAGTATTAATTATTAAAATTATATACTTTTCATGTATAAGTAACTGTTTTTAAAAATTACAGTTGATTTGCAATTTTTCCTTTTTTCTTTCTTTTTCTTTTTCATTTTTCTAATTTTAGTTGGGGTTGGGTCATTAAGGGAATAATTACAGTTTGGATAAGGTGCTTATTAAAAGGATAATGGTAGGCTAACTGTAACTGTAATATTCAACTAATGACTTTGCCTTTAAAAGAATTAATAATATATTTTTATACAAAATAATATATGTAATGACCCAAATTTTTTTTTTAAAATAGCCAGCGCATAATTTAATTGAGCAAATTTTTGAATTTGATTGTCGTGTAAATTCTGTAAAAACAGTTAAGTTTTGTATTTTTTAAAAATAGTTCCCGATCTCAAAAAATTATGAAATTTTTATATGTTGTTCCCATATGAGTCTAACACGTTGGATAAAAATTTCATAATTTAATGATGAGTATTTCACTACAAGAAAAGAACCCAAATAACACGGAACTTTTTGTGACGGTAGAGGTACCGTTGCAAAAAATGGTCTTTTGAGACGGCATTTTCAAGCCGTCTCAAAAAATGGTCTTTTGCGATGGCGTTTTCAAATTGTCTCAAAAAATGGTCTTTTGCGACGGTGGTGACCTCGTCGCTGATGAATATATCACAAAAAAACATAAAACATTTGCGACGCCTGGCGTACCATCGTAATATTTTTTTTTGAGACGGGAACATTTATTGCCGCAAAAGTATTGTTAAAACGACGTCGTTTTTACTGTAAGGATTTATCATTTGCAACGGTTTAAGTACGTCGTCGCAAAAAGTAATGAAATTTTTTCATCCCACTCATTTTAGCCTATTCGTGGTCATGTGTTTCCCCAAAATCCCCAAACCTTTCTGAACCAACCCAAAATCCCTAAAATCTTTAAATCCCCAAAACCATTTTGAAGCAAAATCCCCAAAGCCCTTGAGCCAAAATTCAACGACGGTGACGGACGACAACGGTGATCGACGACGGCTAGCAGCGAGGGAGCAGCGAGTGACGACTGTATGCCTCTCTCTCTCTCTCTCTCTCTCTCTAATTACATCCAAAGCCCACTCATTTTTTTGAATATATTTTTTTCTCCATTGTTGTTTGGGGGTGTCATTGGTTTGAAACTGTGCCTAGAGGTGACCATTCTCAAATTTGAAGTGATGAGACCGTTCTCAAATTGGCCTTTGATCTTATATCTCCTCCCTTCAGTTTGTTGCATAATTTGGCGGAGCCTTCTGGTTTCTCCACCTTGATGACATTGTCTTCAGAAATTGTGCACAGTGATGGCCTTAAAAAAAAAAAAATGACTTGGTGGATCATATTTATCACTGGATAATTGTCGTAGAAGGGTATTTTTTTCTTTTTTTTTTTTTTTTTTTTTTTTTTGTGTGCAGATCGGCACAACAAACACCATGTACACACCATATTTACAAAAATATATGCTAATGATCACCCAGTGATTAGTATTAGTCTTGACATACGTGCTAAATGTGTATAAAAATATGTAAAAAGTGCTTAGTATTCTAACTATTTTGGTATTACCTCCCCCTTAAAGACTGACTATAGGTTATCATTAGCATGATCCTTTGAAAAATAATAATGGACCTTATTATTTTCTAGATATGATAGGTCCTATATTTATACATATGGTTCGTTTGAATCTGCGTAGGAGGTAAAAAGAAAGGGGGTAAATATTGATGTATCATTTTCTTAGTCATCAAACCAAGACATAGTCTCCTCTCCGAGGATGAACTGTCTAGCACAAAATCTGACTCCATTTTCATTTGGCAGACTTAGCTCTAACAGCATTACACTCTGGTAAGGGCCTCCTGACATAAAAGACCCTGAAATTCTATTTGTTTTTAAAGACTTAATGGCTGCAAGTTGGGATGAGCTTCCAGATACACTCATCAGTGATGCCCAAGAAGCTGTGGCAAATGTTTTTCGTGCAGCTGAGGCAGTTGAGGAGTTTAGTGGGATGCTCGTGTCTTTGAGGATGGCAATTGATGATAGCACTGGATTGGGTGGCGAGGTGACATAAATTATATGGGAAGAATGACATTTTTTTTTTTTTTTTTTTTTTTTTTTTGTCTCTCAAGTTCTTGTGGTCTAATGATTTAAAATTTTGCTACTTATTGTAGGATGTAAAACCCTTGCCGGAGGAATTTGTGAACACATTGCGTACAGTCTATCAAAGATATACTGCATATTTGGATGCTTTTGGGCCAGACGAGACCTATTTGCGTAAGAAAGTTGAGACTGAGCTTGGAACGAAAATGATACACTTAAAAATGAGGTGCAGTGGTATTGGTTCTGAGTGGGGAAAGGTATTGTAGTTTTTGCACATTGCTTTCTTGTCACTATGTTTATTTAGAGCACTCCAGTCCAGTCATACCACAATATGTAAGTTTTATGAGAGCCTATTTTGCTTGGTGTGTGAGATTTAAGGTGCTACAGATTGTGAGCACCTAACCAATTACTATATTTCTTTTGAAACAGACATGAAAGCAAGCTAAAGTAATCATCAAATCGTGTTTACAATCAGCTTGTCTTTTAACTTACATGATCTGTACATAATTGCACATATGCAATAGTGTATAGTGCTAGTTTGGGCTTATGTTGGAGTTTGGGAAAGTTTAGATGAAGATTAATTTTTTAGGAAACTCAGATCATTTGTTCTGTGGGAAAACCACTTCCTTAAATAGTTGTGTTGTCTTAAAAAACTTTACATACTGAAATAAGTCAATAGCCTTGAGCTGCTCTCTTTTTTTGGCTGTACATGAAATTGGTCTAGATGAAAGGGTAGCTTTGCCCAACAACAGTAATGCTTGTCGTTAGCGTCCTTGATGCTATGGATTCTAGTCACAGAATAGTCTGTCCGAAAATGGGGTAAGGTTGCGTATATCTGCCCTTGTGAGACCCCGCTTTAGCGAGAACCTCGTGTACTGGGCTGCCCTTTTTATGAAATCAGTCTAGATCCTTAAATGCAGGTATAGTGTGACAAAGTCTTGACCACTAATTACACCAAATGAATATCAGCTATCATGAATTTTACAACTCATGCCTGTAACCATTCTTTTGTGCAACATTGTGAAGAATAAAAAGTAGGCTTGTTTAATTATTGAATCAGTTCCCGTTTTGATTGCATGTTACAGTTCTGGGAACTTCTGGATTTTCAGGTTCCTATGTTGAGCACAGAGCTTAGTTTCTTGGAGATGGTTAAAAGCATCATGTCTTCATGTTGTCTTTTCTCTTGGGGAACTTTATTCATGTTTGTGGTCATAATGAATGACTAGTGGCGGGTGCACATGCTATGTCTGCACGGTACACGTGTGCAACTTTATATCTAGTTTCTTGGATGGTTGGCTGAAGCTAAGGTTGTTGCTGAAAAATTGCACTCATGTTGGCTGAAGCTAGGCTATGTTAGGTTCATTTGGTAAAGGCTAGGCTATGTTAGGTTCAGTTAATAATGTATAAAGTAAAGAGTAATGCTGAATATTGGGTAACATGGATCAGGTATTTTTTATTGGATAAAATCACATAGTAATAAACTATTCAAACTTAAATGCATGGTTATCATCAATGGTTCAATTTACTATATAATCCAACTTGGTAAATGCAATGTTTAAAATGAGGAAAGAGGACAGAAAGTTATTGGGACAAAGGCCAAAATAACTTATGATCATTGTAAACAATCAGATATCAATCAATAACAATCAATATTACATAAATTTCAACACTATTCCTGCTCAAGCTGCCCTATGGGTTGATGGAAAAGCTTTGAGTTAACCCCTTCTTGACATTTGAGTTTAGCAGTTGATTTTAAGCCTAAGTGACATTGCCAAAATTTGTGATAAATGTCATGGTTCATGTTTCAAAGAATATTATATGCCATATTATAAGTTAATCTAGTTTTATAATGGTGAAAGTATACATTTTTGCATGTGGTATTTTCCTGCAAAAAACAAGATAATGTGGTTATAAGTAATTAATAAGGTAATGTGGTTGTAAGCAATTATCAAGTATATCTTTTCTGGTTGGATCTTAGAAGAATATGTTTAATGCCTGTGTTTTTACCTACTCTTGTAGTGCAAAATGTTATTTGCCCTGTGCTTCCCTTATATAGTTCATCAGTTCCTTTCACATTGACTAATAATTGTTATCTACGTCTAACTTCGAATTGATTTCTCATACGCAGAGTCATTGAGGTTGATTTATTTCCTCACTTGTTGCAATTGAAATTGAGAGATCTGATCTTCTCTGATTGGCTTCTCAGGTAGTTATTTGAGCAATCATGAATGCATTAGCTGAAAAAGAAGGTAAGGTTGTTGCTGAAAAATTGCAAGCTTCTCTAAAGGAAGAACTTGAGAAGGCTGAGCAGAGAAAATCAGTGCCAACCAGAGGGTAATGTAAATCTACAAAAGATCCATGTGTTCTTTTTCCCTTTTGGGTTTCAAAGATATTTTCTAATTTATGCTAAAAAATTATTCCCTCTTTTTTCTTTCTTGTCAAAATTTATAGATTTTCATTAATTTTGAGAACCTTTCATGCCCTCTTTGGGTTTTCTTGAGTACATTTGCATTCTTCTGCTAAATTGCTTACTTAATTTCTAATGAGATCCACTTTCTGTTTTCCATAAAGAGGCAGACCCCATTCTGGATTTCTTGTCAGAAACTGTATTCTCTGTCTCTAATTTCAATAAAATGTCTACTTAATTACTTGTTGGCTAGTTTTGAAGTATCACCTTTGCATTTGGCTGCAAATATGCATATTCATTTTTTAATTTCTTGTCTGAAATTGCATGTTTTAGTTCAATTTGATTATCTATCTCACTATCTGCTGCTGCTTTGTTAGAAAACTGGTAAAGTGTATAATTTAGCCTATTTACTTATTTCATTTTGATATGCTCTATATCAAAGAAAACTTGTTTTGCAGCAACACATTGTTGCATGTGAGTTCAAGTTTCTCTGTAAATAAACAAATGGGCATTAAGTTTCGCCTTTGAAACTTAAGCATAAGAAATGGGACAATTGCTAAGAGAGATTTCTGGTAGTGACAAGAGTAACTCATGATAAATGGTTTTTGTGATATGGATTAGGTTCAAGACTATTATAAGCTTTCTGCTGAGTATGAAGGGAAGCGTGACCCCCAGAAATTGGAGTTGGGGAATGTGCTGACAAGTATTGATGATGGGGATTCTATTGTCGTTGGTAAATCTTTCTTTCACATGCTTAACTTGGCCAACTTGGCTGAGGAGGTTCAGATAGCTTACAGACGAAGGATTAAGTTGAAGAAAGGCGATTTTGCTGATGAGGCATCTGCAACAACTGAATCGGACATTGAGGAGACCCTTAAAAGACTTGTGACACAATTGAAAAAATAACCTGAAGAAGTTTTTGACGCTTTGAAGAACCAGACTGTGGATCTGGTTTTCACGGCACATCCCACTCAATCTGTCCGTAGATCTTTACTTCAAAAACATGCAAGGTCTGTTCTACAACCCTATGGTTTTGCTATCTGCTTTTGTTTTTCGATCTTTTAGTTTAGTTTTTTGATTTTTTAGTTAGTTAGCCACTAGTCACTTCACTTGTAATCTTTTTTTCAATCCAATCTATATTGTTATCTGGTCAGTAGTTGTTTTGACTGAAATTGTGTTATTTTATCCTTTTAAGGATTCGGAATTGTTTAACCCAGTTGTATGCCAAAGACAAAACGCCTGACGATAAGCAGGAGCTTGATGAGGCTCTGCAGAGAGGTATTTTGCTTCAGATTTGGTTTATTTTCCTGCTATAGGAATGAAAGAATCACAATAAAATTTTATTCTGATTTTCCAATCTAAGGACTAATATACAAATATACCAAACTACTTTGGACAACTCTTAAGGCTGCATTGACATCTCTCTCTCTCTCTCTCTCTCTCTCTCTCTCTCTCTCTGTGTGTGCAAAATTTACGCTTGCTACCTATAAGAACTAGTGTGTACCCCTGGTGCACATACAAATAATACGTTAATGATTTATTTGAATTTTTGGAGCTGCTAAACTTCTCTTGGCAGGCATTCTGGGAATGTGTTAATTTTGAATTAGATAGGAATAAAAATAACTGACCTGTCTTCATCAGATGTAATGCTTAAAACTGTATGAAGAACCAGGAAAGCTACTTTGTTTTAGACAATAATGGTAACAAATAATTTGTTTGTAATGCATTGGGGGTTTGTTCTTGGAGGATGAGCTATATAACCTTTTCCATTGCTTCTGGTTCTGAAGAGTGTAATAGGAACCTCTTATTTCAGCAACTTCTGCTGGCTGCAGCAATAACATCAATAGTGAAAGTCATGTTGTTTTGGGCTTACGCCTAGGTCACTGGCACAAAAGTTTTTTCATTTGTTATTTTCATAATTTGCTTAATGTCAACCACCAAACTTATCTACTTTAACGTGAATATGGAAACATATTTCACTTTTGAATTTCAATCTTTATAGCGTACATTTATTGGAGTCTTATTCCTGTTTCATGCATTGTATGATTATACCTATAAGAAACTTGAATTCGAGGTGTTAACACCCCAAAATTACCAAACGGGGTCGGATTAGCACGAAATTTGACATACACGACCGCCTAAGCACGAGAGACTTGTGGGAGAAGACGGGGCTCGAATCAGGTTCCCGGTTTGGGAGTTAGAGCCGGATTTCACTCTTGGCAAACTAGTTCCTTAAAAAACTTGAATTCGAGGTGTTGGCGTCCCAAAATCACCAAACGGCGTCGGTTTAGCACGGGACTTGGCACACATGACCACCTAGACACGAGAGACTTGTGGAAGAAGACGAGATTCCAATCGGGTTCCCGATTTGGAAGTTAGAGGCGGATTTCACTCTAAGTAAACTAGTTCCTTAAGAAACTTGAATTGGAGGTGTTGACTCTCCAAAATCACCAAACAGCGTCGGTTTAGTACGAAACTTAGCACACACGACTGCCTAAACACGAGAGACTTGTGGGAGAAGACAGGACTCCAATCGGGTTCCCGATTTGGGAGTTAGAGCCGGATTTCACTCTAGGCAAACTAGTTCCTTAAGAAACTTGAATTGGAGTTGTTGACGCCCCAAAATCACCAAATAGCATCGGTTTAGCACAAAACTTGGCACACACGACCACCTAGGTACGAGAGACTTGTGGGAGAAGACGGGACTCCAATCAGGTTCCCGGTTTGGGAGTTAAGAGCCGGATTTCACTCTAGACAAACTAGTTCCTTAAGAAACTTAAATTCGAGGTGTTGACGCCCCAAAATCACCGAACGACATTGGTTTAGCACGAAACTTGGCACGCACAACCGTCTAGGCACGAGAGACTTGTAGGAGAAGACGGGACTCCAATCAGGTTCCCGGTTTGGGAGTTAGAATCGGATTTCACTCTGAGCGAACTAGTTCCTTAAGAAACTTAAATTCGAGGTGTTGACGCCCCAAAATCACCAAACGGCGTCGGTTTAGCACGAAGCTTGGAACACACGACCGTCTAGGCACGAGGGACTTGTGGGAGAAGACGGGGCTCCAATCGGGTTCCCGATTTGGGAGTTAGAGCCAAATTTCACTCTAGGCAAACTAGTTCATTAAGAAATTTGAATTGGAGGTGTTGACACCCCAAAATATCCAAACGGCGTCGGGTTAGCACGAAACTTGGCACACACGACCGCCTAGGCACGAGAGACTTGTGGGAGAAGACGGGGACTCCAATCGGGTTCCCGGTTTGAGAGTTAGAGCCGGATTTCGGTCTAGGCAAACTAGTTTATTAAGAAATTTGAATTCGAGGTGTTGACGCCCCAAATCTCCAAACGGCGTCGGTTTAGCACGAAACATGGCACACACGACCGCCTAGGCACGAGAGACTTGTGGGAGAAGACGAGAGTCAAATCGAGTTCTCAGTTTGGGAGTTAGAGCCGGATTTCCATCTAGCCAAAATTATTTACTTAATTATCTTTGTAATTGTATAGTTTTTAATTTTTTATTTTTTTTGTAATTAAAATATTAACACATAATTATATTACCATTAATTATTTTTATTTTTTGTTTTCAGATATTTCCCGAGTAGCAGTTTGCTTGTGGTATACAAGCGTGTGAAGATTGCGATTTACTTTTGTTTTTGTTACCCACGGAAAAATCATGAAGGAAACTTTTGTTTTTGATTTACGTTATTTTGAATTGTAAACAATATTATGTATTTAAACATTGTATATGTATTATGTAATATTATGTAGTGGGATAATTTTGCTAATGTGTTATAATGAATGAATGCAATAATATTTTTATTATGAATGAATTGTTATTTTTATACTGAAATTTTTATATTATTATATAATTATTGGTTTCTTTTTCAATTATTTTTCATTTAATACAGGTAATTTTTATATTTTTAATAATTTTTTTTTGAGACGGCACCACATTGCCGTCGCAAATGATATTGGCAGAGTTGAGACAAAAGCCTTTTGCGACGGTACTCTTTGCCGTCGCAAATAATCTTTTAGCGATGGCATATCGTGTTGTCTCAAATATTTTTTTAGCAACGACAGGTATCCTGTCGCAATAAAAATTCTTTAGCGACGATATTTTTGCTGTCGCAAATAACACCTTTAGCGACGACAATATAGTGCCGTTTCAAAAAATCACAAATTTTTTCATATTAATGGCGACGGCAAAATTCCATCGCAAAAAGGCAACTTTGCCGTCACAAAAAAAAAGGCAACGGCAACGTGCCGTCGCTAAAACCTTTTTGCAACCCCCTTTGTTGCGACCCCCCACTTGCCATCGCTAAAAGTCATCTGCCGTTGCAAAAAAACCTTTTGAGACGGCAATTTGAGTATTTGTAACGTTATTTTGCCATCGCAAAAAGTTAATTTTTTTGTAGTGTTTATTTTATGAAAATTCACGAACTAATTGATGTTCAATTTAATTTATAGCAGAATTTAAAATTGAGTTTTAGGTGTTCGGACCTTGATTTGAGATAAATTTGTTGGGTCTATTTTGGTTTATAATTGGACCATATTTGACTTATGGGTGAGACCCATGACTTAGATTTAATTTAAATTGAGTTTATTTAATGACTCACGTTTAACTGTTTGGTCTTTTTAAAATGTGATTGATAATAACTGTTAAAATGTACCAAAACCTACCACTACACCTACTCCACCCACTTCACCTACTCCACCTACTACTCCACCTACTACATACCTACCTCCTCTAATCTTCTATATATAGGACTCATTGTAAACACAACATATATCAATCAATAATACAATTCTCTATTTCTTTTTTTATACATCAATTTTAACATGGTATCAGAGCAAGGTTAAGAACTTAGTGATTCCGCTTCATCGGCGGGCGGCAACCTCGCCTTGGTCGTCCGCCGGACAAAACCAAAATTTTCTAATTCTCTCTCTCCTTCCTCCATACTTTTCACCCACATACCAGTGCACAAAAAGGTCCCAACAACGCTCTCTCTCTCTCTGAAATCCTGTAATTGAGAGTTTTGAACACAAAATGGGAAATTGTATTGCTATTTGCAAGCGCAACAGCAACAAATTTGGTTCTGAATCAGCTGCGGACGAGCACCGGAAAGTTCTACAGGTTGTAAAGACAGAAGGAAAAATATTGGAGTTCAAATCACCAATCACTGTGAAGGACTTTCTCGAAAAATTTTCTGGGTTTTCCATTGCTGTTTCACAAATACTTTCCAAGCCTCTACCTCCCTCTTATGAGTTGAAGCTAGGAAAAACATATCATCTTCTTCCTCCTTCTTCTCCTGTTCGGCGATCCGGCACGCCTCTGCTTTGCGAGCGGCTGCCTCGGCGCGTTTCTCTGCCTCCTCCTCCCGCTTCTTGGCGGCGCACGACTTCGAGCCCTCGGCTTCGCGCCAGTACTGGTCTTCTTTATCTCGAGCATCGAGATCTTTGCGCTCGGCTTCGGTGGCTGTCTTCCGTGCCCTAGCCTCCTCGGCTTTGCTGTTCACGCCCATCTTCTTCGGCATCTTCTTGCTTGTTCTCTATCTCTTCTTGATGGGGCCACGATGGGAAGAGACAGTGATTGGTGGGAGGTGTAGATATGCCCAAATTATTCGGGCCCTGTCAATGCTTGTTCTCCACTTCCCTCTTTTTAGCACCGCCCAACTTTTGTCCCCCTCTTTTCGTTTCTTTTTATTTTTATATTATTCACCCACTCTTGCGCGGTTAGGTGTCGAGCCTTTCAGTTTATTGGTAAAAATGACAGTGGTAGTGCATTAGGGCCTACTTGCAGACACTCACCTAGAGATTCACAAAGCCTGTATTCATGTAACATATATGGTTTAAAATGGAAATGATTTTATATATGTTATTGCATCCTAGCATTACATGCTTTATAAAAAAAAAAAAGAAAAAAAAGAAGAGATAAATTGTTTTATCATGAGCATGGCATGAGCATACTCCTCTTTAGTCTTGTCATGATTCATATGTTGTGCAGTATATCTCTACTAGGTTGTGGCTCACCCTATAAGGGAAACCATTTCAGGTACAGGTGCTATGCCTCCGACAAGACATTGACTTGGGAGGATTCGGAGCTGAGGCTTCATTTTTGTTTTATTGTTATTTGTTGAATGTAAGCCTGGGCTGTATTTGTGTTGAGTTGAAACTCCATTTTGTGTAACCAAGAATGTTCTTGGATAAATTTGTAAGCCTGTAGGGCGCTCATTATCTGTTTGGCTTCCATTTCATACTTGTTGTAAAATGTGTGCTTGGGATTGGAACTGGGGCATTGAGATGTGAATAGCATGTTTTTAGCATTTGGGATTTAATGGAAATGAATGTATGGAATGGTTAGCTATATCTATGTGGTTGTCTATCAGGTGGGTTTTGTAGCATAAATAGATTTGCCCTGCCCAATTTTCGGGGCGTTACAATATAAATAGTTAAATTTTTGCATACAAATTATGAAAATAAAGAAGATTGAAATTTATAATTTAAGTCCCACAATTTTATCACAATTTATTTATTATTTTTTAATTTGTCACAAATTTAATTATGTAATTTTAACCCCCTTGTTAGAATTGCAAACTTAAGTGAGCTCAATCCAAGCAACTTGAGTTTATCTTAAAATTTTTTAAAGATTGAACAACATAGTTTTTAATTAAGTAAGGACCTATACAGAAATTTAAAAATTCAAATTAAATTTGAGTGGACTTGGGTAGAAATACCAAATAACTTGACCAATCAAAACAAAATTATATACATAAATATATAAATTATTTGTGAATTTATTTTTTAAAATAATAAAATAATTAATTAAAAATTTAATATTAATGAATAAAAGAAAAGGCAATATACTTAAGATTTTCAATAGAATTTTTGTTGAAAATATTTAAAAAATACACCTTTTAGAAAGAGATCATTGAATAAAGGGTTGTTTGAGAAGTGCCATATTAATTCGCTTTTTTATCTTTTTATCTTTTTTTTTGTCACATTATATCTTTACTTTTTTTACACATCTTTTCGTAAAAAGTAAAAAGTATACTTAATTATTTTTTTTGGGTCACATCACATCTTTACTTTTATATACATATTTTCGCAAAAAGTAAAAACAAAAATACTTATTTAGCACTTTCCAAACTACCACTAAGTTGATATTAAAAAATTTACATTTTTTAATGGTTTAAATAATTTAAATTTGATTTTTTAGGAATTCATTTTAATTTAAAAATTACAATAAAATATTAAATAGATTAAAAAACAATTTCTTACAAAATAAAAGTATTTGAATAAAAAAAGGTAAAAAGAAAAATTAATATGGTATTTTTATTTAATATGAAAATAATTCTAGATGAAGAATAAATTATCACCTATAACTCTTTTTTTTTTTAAATAAAAAAGTTTAATGAACTATTACTTTTAATAAAACAAACATTAACGTTTCTTTCTAATTTATTTTAGCAAAAAGTAACTTTTTAACAATTTGAGCCAAAGATATCTTTATTCTTTATTTTAATTTCTTTAATTGACAATTGAAATTAAAAAAAAAAATCTAACAAAATCCACCAGGTTTGGTAAGTACTAAAAAAGTTATGTTTTGTTCTTTTGTTAAAAAAAAAAAGAATTTATATTAAAAATATTATTGTTCAAGTCCTTATTGTTTAGAAGGATATAATTTTTTTATTATAAAATTTAAGACAAAAAAAGAAAAAAAAATAATAGCCATTAATAATTTGAACACATGTATTTAAAACAAATTATATTTAGACCAATAATATTATGACACATCATTATGACACATGTGAATATTGATTCCATTCTAATTGTAGTAATGTAATTTGAAGAAGAATTTAAATTTGAAATTTTATTTTATAATTTAATAAAGGATGCAAAATTTAAGAAATGAATATTGACCTCATTTCAATTATAGTAACATAATTTAAGTAAGAATCCAAATTTAAAATTTTATTTTAAGAATATAAAATTAATTTATAGACCAATCATATTACAACACCTAGTAAAAAAAAAATTAAACAAGATAAAATAAATGAGAAAAAAGAATTACAACTTTCAATCTTAATGAAATGACAATATTTTGCAATTATATAATAGCATATAGGTATATAGATAAATCATGAAATAGATCATTATTTAAAACTTATATATTATAGAATAAATCATTATAATTTTAAATTTAAATTAATGGAATGCTTTCCATATTTAGTGTCCCTCAAATTTGAATTTTGAAATGGATTAGTATACTTTATATTTTTTACTTTATATATTTGATATACTTTCCATTTGAAAATCATAAATAAAGAGATATTAATTTATTTTATTTTATTTTTTTTGTTGCTTGATTGAGAGTTATTGAGATTTCTTTAATTACTTATAATAAAAAAATTAGAAATGTTAATTTGAGATATTGGAGCTCCCATAAGACTTGTGGTTAGAAATCTCTTTTTACTTATCTATCTATCTATATATTATATAAGGAAAATGGTGTTTTTAGTGAGAAACCTTGTGAGAGTTTCAATATCTCATACTAATTTTCTTAATTTTCTTATTTTTAAATAATTAAGAAAATCTTCATTGGCTAACTTTTATTTGATAATCCTATATCAAGAAAAGAATGAAAAAAATGAGTTGTTTTACTTTTATAAATGGAATCTTATACCCCTATCCCATTTTAGTGAGGAATCTTGTGAGAGTTTTAATATCTCATACTAATTTTCTTGATTTTTTAATTTTAAATAATTAAGAAATCTCCATTGACTATCTTTTATTTTTTATTCATATAAAGTGAATCTTATACTTCCATCCCGTTTAATATTATAGTGTTGTACATGTTTCAAATTCAATATAATTTAAATTTTAAAAGTTTTAATTAATTAATTATAACCTAGCTGATTAGGCTAAATCATTTTTGATTTGTTAGTTTAACTGTGATTTTAGCGGTTTTATCAAAATATATTGATTAGATTTGTTTGATTCGAAATAAACTAAAGATTGATCTAATTAAAGATTTAAATACTGAGATTGTTTGATTAGAAATAAACTTTCTGTCCAAATAATTGTTAACTTTTATTTTTATAATCTCACATCGGAAAAAGACAAAAAAAAAAAAAAAGTGAGTCTTTTCACTTATATAAGGTAAATCCTAATATTGTAGTATTGTGTATACTTTAATTCAAGACGGTTTAAATTTTAAAATTAAAATAATATTTAAAAGTTTTAATTAATTAATTTTTGTATAAGTTGATTGGTCATTTGACCTAACCGATTAAGTTGAACCATTTTGGATTTGACCGATTCATCTGTTTAATCACGATTTCTCATACTAATTTTATTAAAGTTAAACAATTAAAAAAAATAATTGGCTAATTTCTATTTAACCATATAAAAATAAAATTCTAATTAGTTTATGATTTATTTTATAATCTCACATCAGGAGAAGAAGAAAAAGAAAAGTTTGTTTCACTATCTATCTATCTATGCATTATATAAAGAAAATGTGATTTTTAGGGAAAAGTCTTCTGGGAGTTCCAAACCCTTATTGTAAAATTATTGAATTTTATTAATTTTAAACAATTAAAAAAATTCTCGTTAGCTAACTTCTATTTACCTTTTATTTTACAATCCCACATCGAAAAAGAAACAAAAAGTGAATTGTTTCACTTATATAAAGTGAATCTTATACTCCTATTTATATAAGCAAAATGAAAATTTTATGCTCCCATATGTAAGTATAACATTTTATAAATACATAATATATATGTTGTTCATCAATTATAATACTAACTATCATATTGACAATGTAGGAATACATATAGAAGACCCACAACAATTTAGATTTTTATTCTTTGTTTTATTTATTTAGTGAATTCTGAATAAATGTAATAAATTGTTATTTTTATTACTTTAATTATGCAATTGCTAATAATTTCAAAATATATTCAACATAACATAAATAGTTTTTTAAAATTCAATTCCGTGCTGATATGCTGGAGAGCATCTCTTCACTCTCTTCACAACCCCTTCTCTTTATTCACAAGTAGGCAAGCAGATGGTGAAGCAATAATTTGAAGCTGTGATAGAGAGTTTCGAAGAGAAAATCTGCAGCAAGATTGGGTGGCGGTTTAACACTAAAATCCAGCCGAGTAGACCCGTGAACACCCCACTGTGTGTGTGTGTGAAGCCAATTCCAATTTTCATATCCCATGTTGTCCTCCAGTAGAAAACGCAGGTCACAAAACTCAACCAGAGTGGTGACCATTACATCTGCACAGAAGCAACTTCAGTTCCAAAAATTCAAAAGAATCAAACAATCTGAACAATCTGAATTTCGGCCAGACGCAACAACAAAGGAACAATGCAAAAAAGACAGGAGTCAAGAAGAGTTGCCAACAAATTTCTAAATTCTAATGCTGTGTTTGGCATGATATGGTGGTTCTTCTGTATCCTAGTTTGTCCTCAAATTCATATCAATTGGTTCATCGGATCAATCCTTGCAATGACAAGAAATTCAATTCCCTTCTAGTGGTGATGGTGACTGCTTTGGGATGGGTTTTGGAGTTGTTGGGTCAAATTTATATGTTCTTGGTGGCCAAAGGAGAGACAAGGAATCTTCATATTCACTCACCAAAGGCAAATATGCAGCTCCCTTACCCAGGTATGTCTATCAAAAAAAGAAAATGATTTAGAAAGAAAATTGTTATGCAAAATTTATTACAAAAAAAGAAAATAGTTAGCCAAAAAAAGAAAAGAAAATGGGGAAGAGTCTCCTAACATTTTCCTTTCTTCTATGAGTCCGGATCCTCCGTCATCCATTCCTGCGGCGCCCCAAAACGACATCGTTTTGGGGCAAGATTTCAATTAAAAAAAAAAAGACAGAACAGGAGCAATGGAGGGAGAAGAAGAAAGAAGGGAGAAGAAGGAAGCGACTGTCAAACGAGGCAACCCACAGTCCAAACAAGGCATCAATGAGTTCCAAACAGAGATTTAGATGCTATCGAAGCTCAGGCATCGCCATTTGGTGTCGTTCATTGGTTATTGTTGTTAGTATATTATATTAGTGCTTATTATATGTTAGTGTATATCAGCTGTTAGTAGGGTATATTTCCTTTCCTTTCCTTTACTTTATTAGTGCCACTTTCGACTCCTCTCCTATATAGAGGAGTTCAACTGAACCTTTGTAATAACAATCAATAACATATATCAATATATACATAATTCATTCTCTCCCTTTCTCTATACAGTTATTCTTACATGGTATCAGAGTAATAACAATCAATAACATATATCAATATATACATAATTCATTCTCTCCCTTTCTCTATACAGTTATTCTTACAATTGTGATGAGAACTCAGAAATGATATTGGTTTACGAATGGACCTCTTAGGGACCATCTATATGGAAAGAACTTGCCTCCCCTGCCATGGAAACAAAGGCTGGATTACCAAAATCCCAAATTATCAACACTATAAACATATATAAGAAAAACCCATAAAATTAAACACAAAAAAAATTCAATCCACAGCAATATATTAAATCTAAATCAAGTTCCATCAATCAAACACAAAAAAAAAATTGAATCCACAACAATAAATTAAATCTAAATCAAGTTCCATCAATCAGAACAAGAAGGTTATAACCATAGCCGATTTTTCTTGACCCGGATTGAAATTGCAAGGAAAAGAACAAGATCGAACCGAACCCCCTCTTTATAAATTAACAGTATAATATTAACACTGAGAATGATCATGAAAATTAAACCATACATACATACATACATACATATATATATATATATATATAAGGAGATAAGAAATGAGAGAGAAGAGGGAATTGAAGATGGAGTTTTGAATTACCAAGTGTTGAATCAGTGGGTCATTGTGATGGAAACCCAGAACAGAAAAGAGAGGACTTGGATGTAAATGAGGTTTGTAGATGTGAAATGTAAGGCCAACAAACACAATATACATAAAAGATTGATGAGAGCCACAAGAGAGAAGAAGGAGTCTGAATCTGCCGCTGCCTTCCTTCTCCCTTCTTCCTTCTTTCTTCTCCCTCTGGTTTGCTTCTGTTCTGTTTTTTTTTTTTTTTTTATTGAAATTTCCCCATTAGCATTGTTGTGGGTACTTTGGGGTGACCAATATAGGGGATCTGTTGATGGTGTTGAGAGATGTATTTTTAAATTGAAGAGTATTCCTTAGTCATTTTTGTATAGTTGGTCCACAGAGGTGGTTTAATTCTTTCTTGGATCAATTTTTGGATTTTGTAAAGCCTTTTTGATATGGTTTGTGATGCATAATTGCTATACACCTTCTTCTGCATATGAGTTGTACACCCCTTTGTTGCCTGTTTTTCAATAAATTTTACTTATTTGCTTTTTTTTTTTTTTTTGAAAATTTGCCCCCAAAACGACGTCGTTTTGGGGGCTGCTGGGTTTGGCTGCCGGGTAGGGCGGCCGTGAATCCGCGCTCAACCAAAAAAACACTCAAGAGGAAAAAATCATCCAGAATGATTGACTTCTATTTTTAAAAATGCGACCGTCAAATTATTTGTTTGTAAAAAATTTTGCATCACAATTTTCTTTCTAAATCATTTTCTTTTTTTGATAGACATACCTGGGTAAGGGAGCTGAATGTTTGCCTTCGGCGCCAGAATATGAAGATTCCTTCTCTCTCCTTTGGCCACCAAGAACATATAAATTTGATCCAACAACTCCAAAACCCATCCCGAAGCAGTCACCATCATCACTGGAAGGGAATTAAATTTCTTGTAATTGCAAAGATTGATCTGATGAACCAATTGATATGAATTTGAGGACAAACTATGATACAAAAGAACCACCATATCTTGCCGAACACAGCATTAGAAATTTGTTTGGCAACTCTTCTTGACTCCTGTCTTTTTTGCATTGTTCCTTTGTTGTTGCCTCTGGCCGAAATTCAGATTGTTCAGATTGTTTGATTCTTTTGAATTTTTGGAACTGAAATTGTTTGATTCTTTTGAATTTTTGGAACTGAAGTTGCTTCTGTGCAGATGTAATGGTCACCACTCTGGTTGAGTTTTGTGACCTGCGTTTTCTACTGGGGGACCAACATGGGATATGAAAATTGGAATTGGCTTCACACACACACACAGTGGGGTGTTCACCGGTCGACTCGGCTCAGTTCTAGTGTTAAATCGCCACCCACTCGGGTGGGTACACCGATTCTATCTCATGGACTATGCAGCCCTAAGCCACCAGCATACGGCGGTGCTCCTCCGGCACATCCGACAGCACCACCACCACAAGCGGATACGCAGTCTTGACCTTCATCAAGCCCTTTGATAGCCCAACCACGCCCTTCACGTAGCCACCGTTCCGAGCCAAGAACGTGACATAAGCTCGGCTCATCAGGCTCGCCGCCTTGGCCAGTCCGGTGGATCCACTCACAACAACTTGAGGAGGAGCCATTTGGGTTTTCAGAAAATTCTATAGAGACAGAGTGGGAAGTGTTTTTGAGAAGATGAAGATGGAAATTTGAGAACGGTTTGGTGAGTTTTTTGGGTTCAATGAGGCATTATTATAGGCGTTGGTGGGTCATGAATTTTCTGGGGAGCAAGGATCCTCTAGAGTGATTTTTTCCTAAAGTTTCCTAGAGTGTTACATTGTGTGGTTGAGATTTATTGGCAAGTCACATCAATTTTTCTGATGTGACTTGCCAGTAAATCTCAACCACACAATGTAGTACTCTAGGAAACTTTAGAAAAATTTCACTCTAGAGGATCCTTGGTGTTTTCTGGGAGGTTGAGATCTGATGATCAGGATAGGGAGGTTTTGGTGTTAAACGACGTAGTTTATTTGAATTAACGGTGTCGTTTTGGTGTCTCGGAATGGTCCTTGGAGAACTTTGCCCATGAGTCGTACTTGGATTAGATGTGAAGGTGTTATCTGATCGGGAACAAATCGGACTGTACGTGTGTCAGTATGTGTGGGAAGTAATCAGATCTGACGGCTGTTTTTCCTTGTGTAATAAAATTCTCTGAAAATTGGATAATATGTAATGTTGGTCGTCGGTGCGTGTAAAAGGATAGCCTAATAGTAAAACAAAATTAAAACGGTAGTGCTTTATATTAATTGATATATTAATTAGTATATTAACATATTAATATAATTACTCGTGCTATGTATAGGTATAAATAAATAATTAAAAATTAATTTTTAAATTAAATAATAATTTAAATAAATTATCTAAAATATTTAGTAAAAATGATTTAGAATGAATTAAATTTTATTTATTTTTATTACAGTTACATATAAAATAAGTATATTTTTATTCTTATGTCATTAATTGTCTTCTCTAAATTTTTAATAACAAATATATGTCATAATTTAATTAGTAAAAATTAAAAAATAAATCACAAAAATTATATTTATTTGGCCAATTCTATAGGTCTCATGTGGCTTTGACACAAAGTCCAAAATCTCAAGTGGACTTGACATATCTGGCCAAAGACGAGCAAGGATTCTCTCCTTGAATTCTCTTCTTGACTCCCTCTATGTAGGGTTTTCGGATTCACTTTTAGGCCCAATTTTAATAATTCGAACCGTATATATTTTAAGATTTATTCAGTATACCATACCTATAAAAAATCAAATTGATCGGATATTAGAAAGTATGTGTTCAGAAAAATTGAACTACAAACTATTTTTTAATAAATAGTTTTCCAAACACATACTTTCTGATATCCGGCCAACTTGATTTTTTACAGGTATGATATACTGAATAAATCTTAAAACATGAACGGTTCGGATTATCAAAACTGGGCCTAAAAGTGGGCCCGAAGGCCCTGCAAGGAGGGAGTCAAGGAGAGGATTCAAGGAGAGGATCCTAATTCGCCAAAGACACCCGAATCAGGATCCTCTCTTTGAGGTTCCTACTTGACTTCCTACTTGTTGAGTTATTGGGTTCACTTTTAGGCTCAATTTTGATAATTTGAACTATTCACATTTTAAAATTTGTTGAGTATATCATACTTATAAAAAATCAAGTTGATCAGATATCAGAAAGTATGTATTCGAAAAACTGTTTATTAAATTTTTTTAAAAAATAGGTTTTAGTTCGATAATTAGAACACATGTTTTCTGATATCTGATTAATTTGATTTTTTACAGGTATGATATACGCAACAAATCTTAAAATGTGAATGATTTGGATTATCGAAAGTGGGCCTAAAAGTGAGCCCAATGGCCTAGCAAGTAAGAAATCAAGGAGGAACCTCAAAGAGAAGATCCTGATTCAAGACACCCATTGTCCTAAGTAACTTGACACACTCGGAATATATGGTGCAAATATCTCACTATTCAAACTTAACACAAACTCAACCAACAATATAAAGTTAAAGACCCCATAACGCTGTGCTTGGTTATAAGATTTGAAAAGAAATTTAAAAAGAGAAAAAGAAAGTTATGTGAAATATAAATAAAATATACTTACATTTCACCTAATTTCACACTTTTTCTCTTTCTCTTTTCTTTCCCTTTGCAAATCTCTTTTCAAAATTTTCAACCAAACACAACGTAAAATGACTTGGCATCTACCCAAGGTGAAAGTCCTCCCTCATCCTAACCCATTTTAGATGTTGAAGGATAAAATTTGAATAAAATATATTGTTATGAAGTCTTGAACTAGTTTTAGAAAAGTATAAAATAAAAAAAAAAATAGACTTGATGGTAATTTGGAGGGAAAAATGATCCTTATTGTTGGTTTTTAGCTTATGTAGTACAGGATTTGCTAGAATGCCTCATTGATTCGGAGACAAGGCCCAGCCCATACATACAATAGGCAAAGGAAAGACCCACATTTCGTAGATCCCGCCCGGAAAATACAAGTTTGACAGAGGATTGGGAAGGAGAGATGCCAGAAAAGGCTCCAAATGGTTTAGTAGACTTTGTGCAGATATGTGATGAGAGTCGCAAATATGTTAATGAGAAGGCTTGCGTCTATATGTGTGGGGTAGTGGGTAGGCCTATGTACCGGTTTCTTCTAAGATGTATGAGGCTATTGAAGTTACTGGCTTCAATCACTTGGCTAAGATTTTGATCAGATACAAAATCATATCTAATGGTATTTTTATGGGGATTTAGGCTTGGTTTGGCATACCTCAAAAAATCTAAGAAGTTAAAAAATTATTTAAAAAGTTATCATCATTTATCAAAAAAAATATATAAAAAAATTAATTTTACACAAAATTATTACAAACAACTCTGACATCCACAGAGCTGACTTTTTTGTAAAAATTACACAGGCGGGGTGCACAAACAACATGGTACTGTTTGGCCCATAGGGGCTTATCACAGGTCACGTTTTGATAATCTGAACCGTTCAATGTGTAGAACTCGTCGAGTACTATATGCTTATAAAAAGTCACATTGATCGGATATTGCTAACTATATGATCAAATCAATTTTGTATAAAAAATGAATGGTGTTATAGGTAACGGTTGAAAAAAAAAACTAACTGATCAGGTAGTTATCGATATCTGATCAATGTGATTTTTTACAAATATATAGTACTCGACGAGTTCTACACATGAAACGGTTTCGATTAGCAAAACAGGACCTGTGGTGGGTCCCCACGGCCTGAACAGCACCGTCAGATTCAATGCCCGAAGAGGGAACCATCTCCTAACCTATACTCTGCATACGTTGCCCCTTAGAATATCTCACCGTACTGCATATTCTATTCCAATCTTCTCCTATAGACTAATTTATATAATTTTTTAATACACATTTTTTCGTAAAAAGCCGAAAAGTTATTCCAAACAACCATTTTTTTTTTCTCAACTTTTTAATCTAAAAAGTAAAAAACATACACTTATTTAGGACATCTCAAACAATCCCTTACTCACTATTCAAGATCATTGCCATTCCTTTTTGGGACGCTATAAGATTGACGGCTACCTTTTGGTGGTAGGTTAGGGTAGATGGTAAGGCCCATGTTGTGGCTAATCTTCCTAATTGTGCGGGGCCTAGAGATATGATTAAACAAAAATGCTTTAGAGCTCTAATATAGGAGCTCTAATAGCTCTAATGAGAAGGTAGGTCCCACCCTGATGTGATGTTTGTATCTTGTTTTGTTTTTTTTGCTTTGACACATCATTAGAACTCAAATTAGAGCTCTATATTTAGAGCTCTCTATCATTTCCCATGATTAAATTTGCCATTGCTGCAGGTGTTAAGCAAAATTTAAAGAGAATGAGAAGCAGAGCACCAGAGTTTTTTACTAAGTATAATATAAAAGTAATAGCAAGTGAATTCAATGCTTGTAAACTATGAAAATATATAAGTACAAGAGCAATGATTCATACCCCTTTAAAAGTCTCATTCCCATCATCCGCACACACGTGGGGTTGGGGATTTGAGATCAAAAAAAAAAAAAAAAAATTTAGCCTATACATAACCAAAAACTAAAAAAATAGGTTTAGGCATCAATATTATTATTGTCTTTAGCTCGCCCCCCAAAAAAAGCGAAGCGGCAGGTGGGGGCGGGAGTGTAATGACCAACGTTGGCCTCTGACACCATTGCCACTATGACTTTGTCAGCTTCACCTTCAATGCGTGATATGTTAGTCCTCTTGTAATCCAATGATTCATTATTGTATATATCCCACCAGCTCTTCACTAGCATCTTGATGTCTTTTCTATCCATGTTCTCTTCTTTTCCAGTATACCTCCATGGGTTTGATCCCTAGAAGAAAAAAAAAAAGGAAAAAAAGAAGCCAAATTACAAATTAATTACTTTAGAACACCTGGATGTCTCCGTCCAAGTATATCATCTTATGGTACTCCACGAACTGCAATTGATAACAAGTCAATATGCATTATTTTAGCTAGAAAGATAATTAATTAGTATGAAATAACAAGGAAATTAAGAACTTATACTGAAACAATAATTTGAGAAAGTGAGAGAGGATAGAGAGAGAGAGAGAGGGACAATTGTTTTATCTGTAAAAAGAATATATTTACACTCAGAGAAGGCACTCTCTTTTATAGAGAGAAATGGATGCCTTGGATGCCTTGGAGGATGTCCACCGAAAGCATGCATATGATGATGTCCACCTAAAGTAGACAAAAGGTGAAGATATACAATTATACAATTATATATTAACACAATGATACACTAACATCCCCCCGCAAACTCAAGGAGGGAAAGCATCAACCAAGTTGAGTTTGGAAACAAGATCATTGAAGCGGCCAGGAGGATGAGCCTTAGTGAAGATATCAGCGGGTTGATCGATGGAAGCAATAGGGAGAAGACGAATAGTACCACAGGTAACATGCTAGCAAATGAAATGACAATCAATCTCAATATGTTTGGTGCGATCATGAAAAACATCATTGTGAGCAATCTGAATGGCACTCTGATTGTCACAATAGAGAGGGGTAGAATCAGAAGAAGAAACACCCATATCAGCAAGGAGCCAGCGAAGCCAGAGAAGTTCCTGAGTAGTATCAGCAAGAGCTCGATATTCAGCTTCGGTGCTAGAGCGGGCAGTGAGGGATTGTTTTTTGCTACGCCAAGCAAGAAGAGAATCCCCTAAGAAGAAGCAGAATCCCGTGGTGGAGCGTCGATCCGTAGGAACCCCAGCCCAATCAGCATCAGAAAAGGCACGCAGTTCAAGAGAGGAGGAAGCAGAGAAGTGAAGGCCATGGAACAGAGTGCCTTTGAGGTAACGAAGGATGCGGAGTAGAGCAGTATAGTGGGGAGTGCGAGGAGCCGACATGTACTGACTGACAATGTGAACAGCATAGGCAATGTCAGGACGAGTTACTGTGAGATAGACAAGGCTGCCGACGAGTTGGCGATAAAGAGTAGCATCAGAGAGAAGAGTCCCATCAAGAGGAGTGAGACGTATCTGAGGATCAAGTGGAGTAGAGGTAGTTTTGCAATCAGTAAGACCAGCACGAGCCAGAAGATCAGAAGCATATTTGGCCTGGGATAAATAGGAACCAGTAGAGTCATGAGAGACTTCAAGGCCCAAGAAGTAGTTAAGAGTACCAAGGTCCTTCATCTCAAACTGTCGGTGGAGAAACTGTTTGAGGTGGAGAATACCAGCTTCATCATTACCAGTGATAATCATATCATCCACATACAGAAGAAGAAGAGTAGTACCATGAGAAGTAGTCCGGATAAAAAGAGCAGAGTCATAGGAGCTAGAGGTGAACCCAAAATCATGAATGGTAGAACTGAACGTAGCAAACCAAGCACGAGGTGCTTGCTTGAGGCCATAGAGAGCACGCTGTAGTTTGCAAACCTGATGAGGGGGAAAAGTGGACCCAGGTGGAGGTTGCATGTAGACCTCCTCAAGAAGATGACCATTGAGGAAAGCATTTTTGACATCCATCTGAAAGAGCCCCCAGTGGCGAGCAGCAGCAACAGCAAGTAAACTGCGAACAGAGGTAAGCCGAGCAACAGGAGAGAATGTCTCCTCATAAGCAATACCATATTCCTGGTTGAAACCCTTGGCAACAAGACGAGCTTTGTAGCGTTCAATAGAGCCATCAGAATGTGACCATTAAGTATGCCATCTCAATCTCATGCTTTAAACAAACAAGTTGTTTGAACCACTTTCAAAGCAAAATAAAAGCCAAGAAATGAGGGAGGTTACAGAGATGATTAAGAGTACCTGGGATTACAGACAAAGCAGTAGGAGGAGGTGTACCAGATGGGGAGAGAAGTTGTTTGAGCATGGCCTCTACATCCGTTGGAGAAAAGTGAGGGGTAGATGGAGCAGGTGACTCAGAGAACCCGGCAGAGGTGACAGTGTCAGTGTGATGAGGCTGATTCCCGGAAGCAGCAGCAGCAGTGGGATGAGGCTGATTCCTAGAAGCAGTAGTAGCAGTGTGATGAGACTGATTCCCGGAACGATGAAAGCTTCCCCGGGCAGAGCCACCGCGAGAGGAGTGGCTATTGGAGGATGAGCGGGATGGATTGCGAAAACAATCCTGTTGCAGATGTCCAGGACCAAGTTTGTTGCAGTAGCGGCAGGATCTGACGGGGCAATTGACCAGGAGATGGGTTGAAGGAAGGCCCCGATTCTGACAATAGAGGCAAGCAGTGGTCCGCTGGGTAAATGGTGGCCGGTACGGAGGAGTGGCCAGAACAGAGTCCACATGATGAGTTTGAAGAGTACCGAGACGCGTCTCCTCTGATAGCAACTCAGAAATTGCTTGTTCAAGAGTGGGCAATGGATGGCGATGAAGCAGAGAGGCACGTACGGGCTCAAAAGAGGGGGTAAGAGCCATGAGAAATTGCACCAACCTTTGCTGGTTGCGATGGTTAGTAAATAAAACTGCATCTTCGGGGTCATGCCAGGTTGGTTCTGAAAGAGCAAGCTGATCCCAAACAGAGTACATTTGAGAAAGGAATTCATTAATGGACTGAGTGGATTCTTGGCGCATGCGGTGACAGTAGTGAAATGGCGCACGAGAGGCGCACAGTAGCAGGCGCGGCGTACGGAAGAGACAGGGCTGACGTCAGCCGCGGATCGTGTGGGCGCGTGTGGGCGCGTGTCGGAAGTGACAGACGACGGATGGCGCGTGCGGGCGCGTGTGAGAGTGGTGGCGGAAATGATGACGCGCAGTGGACACTGGCGGCGCGCGCGGGCGCGAGAAAGGTTTTTTGAGGCCGGGCTTGGTGCCGTTGGAATCAGGAGAAAATTTCGAACAGTTTGATGTAGTTTACGGCCGATCCCAATAGTCTGCCCTGTCTGAGGGTCCTGTACCAAACAATCAGTAGCAGAAAATGTGACAGTTAGACCAAGTTCACATAATTGACCAATGGAAATAAGGTTTAAGGTAAGAGCAGGGATATGATAAACGTGAGGTATAGATAAAGAAGAGGTGGAAACAGTACCAACATGACGGACAGACATGAGGGAACCATCAGCAGTATGTATTGAGGGAATATGAGGAGATGAAGATAAGGAAGAAAAGATAGTAGAACTGGAGGTCATATGATTACAACAGGCAGAGTCAAAATACCAAGAAGAGTTACCTGGGATTACAGACAAAGCAGTAGGAGGAGGTGTACCAGAAGGGGAGAGAAGTTGTTTGAGCATGGCCTCTACATCCGTCGGAGAAAAGCTAGGGGTAGACGGAGCAGGTGACTCAGAAAACCCCGCAGAGGTGGCAGCATCAGTGTGAGGAGATTGATTCCCGGAAGCAGCAGCAGCAGTGTGATGAGTCTGATTCCTAGAAGCAGTAGTAGCAGTGTGATGAGACTGATTCTGGGAACGATGAAAGCTTCCCTGGGAGGAGCCACCGCGAGAGGAGTGGCTATTGGACGATGATCGGGATGGATTGCGAAAACAATCCTGTTGCAGATGACCAGGACCAAGTTTGTTGCAGTAGCGGCAGGATCTGACGGGGCAATTGACCAGGAGATGGGTTGAAGGAAGACCCCGATTCTGACAATAGAGGCAAGCAGTGGTCCGTTGGGTAAATGATGGCCGGTATGGAGGAGTGGCAAGAACAGAGTCCACATGATGAGTGTGAAGAGTACCGAGACGCGTCTCCTCTGATAGCAACTTAGAAATTGCTTGTTCAAGAGTGGGCAAGGGATGGCGATGAAGCAGAGAGGCACGTACGGGCTCAAAGGAGGCAGTAAGAGCCATAAGAAAGTGCACCAACCTTTGCTGGTTGCGATAGATAGTAAATAAAACAGCATCTTCGGGGGTATGCCAAGTTGGTTCTGAAAGAGCAAGCTGATCCCAAACAGAGTATATTTGAGAAAGGAAGTCATTAATGGACTGAGTGGATTCTTGGCGCATGCGGTGAAGTTGGTTCTGAAGTTGATATTGATGGGCAAGACCAGTAGTCTGGTATCGTTCTTTCAAAAAATCCCAGATGTCTTTCGCAGGAGTAGTTACAGAGTCAAGCTGAAACCGACCAAACTGAAGACTGATAGAGGTAACAGAGGTATTACGAAACCAGGTAATGATTTGGTAATTCTTACTGTCCCATTCCTCAAGTCGGTTTTCAAATGTAGCAGTAGAAACAGTAGTTTCATTAGTGTCACTGTCTTTCACCGGTTTAGTCACATCCCCGGTGACAATTCGCCAAAGCTTCTTTCCTTTGAGGAAGGAGGACATGGCTTGGGCCCACAGAACATAGTTTGAACCATTCAAAATAACGGAAATAGGATGGGAGGCATCAAGACGATCCATAATACTAGTTGAATAGGGTTTAAAGTAATAGGATAGACCTGTAGGAGCAAAATTAGGTAAAACAGAGTGTACCAGTGAGTCCGGAAGGTCGAAAATAGCCAGGAAAGGTATGCTGGACAGAGATGATGTCAGCAAAGATGTCAGCGGCGCACGTTAGCAGAGTGCAGAAAGGAGCACGTTAGCAGGAAGCGGCGGTGCACGATAGCGGCCAGGCGCAGACGCGGCGCACGGTAGTTGTTTCGGCGCACGCGGGTGCACAGTAGTGAAATGGCGCACGAAAGGCGCACAGTAGCAGGCGCGGCGTACGGAAGAGACAGGGCTGACGTCAGCCGCGGATCTTGTGGGCGCGTGTGGGCGCGTGTCGGAAGTGACAGACGACGGATGGCGCGTGCGGGCGCGTGTGAGAGTGGTGGCGGAAATGATGACGCGCAGTGGACACCGGCGGCGCGTGTGGGCGCGTGGAAGGTTTTCTGAGGCCGGGCTTGGTGCCGTTGGAATCGTGAGGAAATTTCGAGTGGTTTGGTGTAGTGTCGCTGTGTATGGGACTAAACACCAAAATCGCAAATTGCCAGAAATGTAACTCTGGGCTCTGATACCATGAAACAATAATTTGAGAAAGTGAGAGAGGATAGAGAGAGAGAGAGGCACAATTGTTTTATCTGTAAAAAGAATATATTTACACTCAGAGAAGGCACTCTCTTTTATAGAGAGAAATGGATGCCTTGGATGCCTTGGAGGATGTCCACCGAAAGCATGCCTATGATGATGTCCACCTACAGTAGACAAAAGGTGAAGATATACAATTATACAATTATATATTAACACAATGATACACTAACATATACCATGAAATTGTATACAAATTTTTAACTAAAATTTGTTATTATTAGACACATACCTCCCAGATGCGAATCTTAGAGTAGTTGATGACATAGTAGGCCATAGCAAACCGGGTCTGGTTCTCCGGCGGGTACACCGGCACGATCTCACTGACTATGCATCCCTGAGCCACCAGCATACGGCGGTGTTCCTCCGGCACATCCGGAAGCACGGCCACCACAAGCGGGTAGGCAGTGTGGACTTTCCTCAGGCCCTTGGCTAGCCCGACCACGCCCTTGACATAGTCACCATTGCCAGCCAAGAAAGTGACATAAGCTCTGCTCATCGGGCTCGAGGCCTTGACTAGGCTGTTGGCCTTGGTGGTTGCACTCACAAGTTCAGGAGCCATTTGGGATTTCGCAACAAAGTTTAGAGAAAGAAAGAGAGGTCTAGAGAGAGAGAGAGAGAGAGAGAGAGGAAGTTGGGAAGTGTTTTTGAGAAAATGAAGAAGAAATCTGGGGATGTTTTGTGGGTTTTTCTTCAAATGGGGGCATTGCGTATTTTTATAGGCGTAAATGGGGGCATTGCTTATTTTTACAGGCGTTGCGTTGGTGGATGAATCTTCGAGGAAAGTCATGTTAAAGGTTCATGATCTGGAGACGTTGTTGGGTTTGGTGGGCTTGAAATGTTTTCCCCAACGGCACAGGGACAGCGAGGCCTACGGAGAAATCTAGATTTGTTATCTGATATCCCAATCAAATCGGACTGTACGCGTGTTAGAGTGGGTGTGGCGGTGATTAGATCTGACGGCTGCGAGTTTCCTCTTCGAATAGAGAAAGTATGGAAATGGATAATGGGTCGGTGCGAGTAAAAGGACAAACTAATAAAATAAATATTGAATAAATAAAAATGAAAATGAATTACGATGTTGAATGTAATACCGAATCAATTGGTGTATATAAAATTATTTAATTATAAATATTTAAAATTTGTAAAGTTATCTCATATTATTTGTTAGTAAATTAATTAGTATACAAATTGGTACATATAACATTATTTATTTAAATATCTAAATACGGTGGTGCACTAATTAATATACTAATTAGTATACAAACATATGTGATGATATTACTATTTCAAAATTATGACCTCATCTATTGTAAAATTTACAAAGAATCGAAATCTCTAAAATTATGTCACATCATCTGTTAGTGCACTAATGGTATACAAATTGGTACATATAACATTATTCGTCTAAATATAGGATACTATATGATCATTTAAAAATAATAATAATTTGTTTATTGTCTTATAAGTTAATTTTATATTGATTTAATAAGTGTTTTCACTCACATTTATATTTACAGTAACGATAGAAATACAGAAACCAAATACCTATGCATATAAACTTACTCATGTATCAATGTAAACAGGACATTAGGTGTGTACCCGTGTACTATTATTTTGTAGCGTGAAATTTCGTATTCAAATCCTATGATCTCTATGATTCTCTCTTTTCCCAAGTAACAATTAACATTTAACATCTAGCCTCTTACTAATGTATGTTAACAATAATAAACAAAATACGATAAGAAAAATAATATTATGTCACTTTTGAAAAGAAGAAGATACGTGAGAATTAATAGATATGACTAATTATTGTTAAGCTACAAAATATTCATAAATAATTCTGTATTAATAATTGAATTTAAGAAGCGTAGTGTGATATTAAAGTGTTCACAAGCCAACAGAGTATTAAGCTAGGCGCATAATCGACCTTTGGTATCTAACAAAAGAAACCTACTGTCCTAAGTAACTTGACACACTTGGTATATATGATCCAAATTGTCCATTTCAACTATTCAAACCTATCTAGGCTTGGTTCAATTAGCAATAGCTCAAATAACATGAGCTCAACCAACAACATGAAGCCCAAGACCTCTTAAAATGGCTTGGTATCTACCGAAGGCAAAAAACCTTCCCGCATCCTAACCCATTTCAAATGTTGAAGGGTACATTTTATAGCGACCCCGGTCTTTTCCCATTTGATTATTGTATCCGGACTTAGGTTCCGTATATTCTGTCATTGTATAATTGGTGTTGTCGTCATTTATTTTCTCATTTAGAGTTATAGGATGTGTTGGGCAGGGTTGTTTCAGGTTGGTTGGGTTCGGAAACCAAGTGTTGCCGTCCAGTTTTTGGGTTGTTCGCTCGAGCGAGGACTTGGTCGCTCGAGCGAGGGTTGTTTTGTGTCTAGTGGCTCGAGCCAGATTATATTCGCTCGAGCGAGCGATTGCGTCTAGTATAGGCCTGAGGGCAGTGTTTCTTCGCTCGAGCGAGATTTCCTTCGCTCGAGCTAGAATCTTGTCGCTCGAGCATGCTCCTGGGTTGCAGACCTGAAGCATTGCATTCTTGGCTCGAGCGAGGGTTTCGTGTGTCTGGTAGCTCAAGCGACCAAGTGTTCGCTCGAGCGAGCCTGTCGGGTTTATATACACAGCAGCGGTTTTTAAAACGTTTTTTCACATCATTTTGATCCTAAAACCCTAGTTCCGAGTTCTCTCTCCCTCTACTCACCTTCTCTCTTAGGTTTCATCACCTTTTAGGGTGTTTCTACCCTAGTTGCTTTATTAAAAAGATAGAGTGAGTCGAGGAGCTTCGTTTTAATCTGAGAGTTTGTAGTTTTGGAGCACTTGGGTTTTTGGGTTATCATCTCCGTCTTCTCCATTCGGGTTATCTTCTTCGAGGTAGGGATTTCCTACTCCATTTTATAAGTTTTGTTCTAAGTTTTGGTATATTGATATGTTGGGGTTACTTTGGTAATTTTGGGAAAAACCCTAGTTGTATTAATAAATTAATTTGTATAATTAATTTAAGGGAATTGGGGAATTTGGTTAAATTCATGAAATTGAGGAATTCATTGATTAAATGGTGTAGTTGGATAATTTAAATCACTCGCCTATTGAATTGTTGATATATTTATTTCCAAATCTAGAAATAACTGTTTTGGGCTATCGGTGGAGGATAGTCGTGATTGTTGTAGACATTGCATGTGGATTAGGAATAACTAAAAC